AATCGCAATGTAAAACAAAAAAAAAAAAACTAAAAAAAAAAACGAAAGAGAAATGGAAGAAATATGGCGAAACATAAAGAAAAATAAATAAATGAATAATTCAAAAACAGATTGACTTATGAAATGAACAATTTAAATAGGTGCAAAACGGAAGTAAATTAGAGCATCTTTTTGCAACGGCATTGTCACACTGAGTTTCAGTGGACTGCCAAATTGCTGTGATAGCAGCAAATTTAACATTTTTGCTAAGGCGATTTGGTATCAATAAAGTTGACAAAAAAATAGAAAAATAAAATAAAGCAGAAGTTGATTGATCTATTAATGTAGTAATTTTTTATTCATTTATTTATTCATCTCTTTTTTATTACTCATTTTTTTTAGTGTATTAATAAATTGGTTTTCCCAAAAGAAAACAGTCGTAAAATTTTAGCTGGACGAATTGCAGACTAATTAGTTAGTTTAAAAAGCTGCTAAGAATTCGTAAAACTGTAAACCAAAACCAAGGGAAAAAAAAAAAACGACTTCTAATATGAGCAACAAAGCGAAGAAAATATTAGTCAAATTTTTTCGCTATTCTAAACCCTAAAATTTTACCCCTCAACAGTGTTGTTGTCAACAACAAAATTTGTCGTTTACAGGGTTTCAGATTCCCAGAAATAATCTGAATAATAGGCAATCTTTTTTTTTTTTTTTCTTCTTCTTGCAAACTTAATGACAAAATACTGCAAATTTTTCTTTGTTGTTGTTGTTAAAACAGAAATGCTTAATAGCTATATGATCTTTGATCTTTCTACAATATTATTTATTCTTCTGCTGTTAAATCAACAATACAGATAAGCTGTAAAAAATTGGAATAAAAAAAAAACTTTTTCTTTTTTTTCTGATTTAATATACAGTACAGAAAAAATTGACCTTTTAATACACTATCACTGATCATCTTGTGCTTAAGTTTAAGCACTAAGTTTATTTTAGTTTGATGGTACAATAATTTTTATTTAAAATTTTATCTTACAATTTACCAAAAAAAAAAATATTTAGCAAAATAATCTGTAATTTTGCTTATTGCTTTTCTGTTTTTTTTTTCTTTTGTTTTTTTTTTTTTTAGGTAATCAACGATATAAACGTCAATTCGATGGCGTAAATACTCCACAAATTGATCTCAACATTACTGTACCATTTATATTCAGTGCACGTCTATATCCATATGGAAAAACAAAGGGTGATACACTGTTAGAGGGTGATGTTATAAATTTGAAGCTAAAGAATACACTATATTTTCTTGGCGAAAGTTATGATTCTGTTTATGTCAGTATTTGTACACTTACCCTTTTCATTATTCATTATTTCTTTCGTTTTTTCTTTATTTCTTTTTGGATGTTTTAGTCAAGTGAATCAATCAGAAGAGTACAAAAAAGAAACAGTTAATTTTTAATTAATTATCATAGTTTTAAGCATACAGTTTTCGCATCTTCATGTATCCATCAATTTACAGATTCGACGAGATGGAGCTATTGCGCTTAGCAATTCCACAACAGTAAAACCAAAATCGTTACCGACAGCTGATCCAGTTATTGCCACCTATTGGATGCCAGCTGAAGGCGGAAATGTTTATTTCCGTGAAACTAATGGTCTAATTTAAAGTAAATAAAAATGAGTGAAAAATAAACATTACA